GCGGGATTGGGCAGTGTTTCGTTCTGCTGTGCATGGGGTCACTATGAGTAGGAAACGACTCGACGGCACTTAACAACAACAACAACATTGTCTTTTGAAATTATTCTAGGGTTTTCTCTGTGTTTTCCTTGACCTGTCTCTCAATTCGTTGAAGATACCTAAATATAATTCTTTTGAATTCCTTATCAGGGAGTTCCAATGCTGCATCTTCCTCAGGGATTTGTTTTGGGTCCTGGTCTCTTGTTTCTCCTGCTTTATCTTGCTTCTTTGTGTAGACTTTGATGTTCTGTTGTCTCCACGGCATTGTGATGTTTTTGTGTTTATATTTAATTGGTGATTGTATGTTGGAGTGACTTGACCACGATTTTTGTTTTCTTTGTTTTGTTTGTATGTTATCTACACAAGCAGGGTACTGTGCTGTGCTCCTCTATTTGCTAGTGGGCAGCACTTATACACTCCCCACCTGTCTCCTTTCCTGTTGTCACCCTCTTATATGTCCCTGCCACCCTTGGCAAATAGAGCCTATTCCTAGGTCCCTGGAATCTGAATGAGGATGCTATCACTTTAAATATCCAAAATGGCCACTGCTTGTAAACATTCAAAATGGCTGTGTCCTCTGGACAGCGGAGTGTCAACTGGTCAGGTTGTCTCCCACCTTACTGTTTCCCTTTCTAGTCATAGGCCCCCAGCGCAGTCATCCCTCCAGCCCTTGGTGACCAGGGTTGATCTTTTTGAGGTCAATTCTCAGTTCCCAACACCACTTGGAACTATTCAGGCTGTTGGTTCCATCGGAGTAGCTAAAAGTCTGCAGCTCTAACTGTCTCTGTAGTCACTGTTTTCGTTCAGGTTTTTCCATTAGTTGGTGCCTAATCCACTTCTGTATAGCTCCTTTCAAAGCTCAGGGCTCCAGGAATACCTTCTGTATCTCTGTCAATTGGTTTTTCTTTTCTTTGTTGAAGAGGGTTTATGTTGCTTGTCTGGCTATTCCTCCATCTTACTGGAAGTCCCCTACTGCTGATGATTTTTAAGTAAAAATATCAAAAGCTAAAATACAATCATAAGGTTAGAACTTAAATTACAATAGAGAAAGATAGGACAAAATTATTTCTGAAAGACCCATAAAATTACATTTAAATGTCATTGTTAGTATTTAGTATGAAAGGATTAAATTATTATCTCAAATTGCATCAGGTAGCTAGCTGACTGTTAGAGAAACATTTGGTTAGGTAAAATGGCACCTAAGATAAGAGATATCTCTATTGCCTAGCATAGTTTCTACACATAGTATGCCTTATCAAATACTAGTTGAATGAATTAGTTAAAACATGAGTATGTAACTGTGCTAAGAATTACACTAGGTTAATTTGAAGTATATAAGCTTTTGATATCCACCTGACATCCCTGCAAATTAGGGCAAATAGACACATAGGTCAAAAATACCATAGTCAGGATACTAAACCAGATTGGTTGCATTCCAAAGATCATTCATTGCCTTTTTACCAAACTAACAATCTCAGTTATATAACGAAAGTAATTTTCTCTCTCAACAAATGCCCCAGGTAGGACTAAGTAGGAGATGACCTTGTTTTCTTGTCTTTGACAGTGTTGTCAATGAAAGTTTTCTAAGTCAGTAGGAGGATGAGAGGCAGTTAAAAGGGAAATATTTTTCTGAATTTTTGAGGAGGTTTGGAAAAGAAGGTTTCATATCCTGTAAAATTCCATTTATAAGACTTCACTCACTACTCTTAATTTTGTAGCAGTTCCAAAAGATAAAAATACTCTTTTTTGTATTGAGAATTTGCTATTCTTTACTTGAAATCATATGCTTTACTTGAAATCATATGCTTGATTTCAGAATTGTTGAGAAGTTTAGAAGGGAGTCATATAGAACCAAGGCATGCTGATAGCTGCAAAGTTTCAATCCTAATACTTTCCGTTTTATCTACCTTACTCTTTAGAAGCAGATTGTGAAATAATTTTGGTAGCAGTTTAAAAGTAGAAAACCTGTGAGGAAAGTTATATGGCCAGAACCTGTCAACCAATAAATAATCCAGATCGAGTTGATAAGATTCACATTATATAAATGCCTGATCTAATTTTTAGCTGGGATTTTGCATAGTTTGGTATATTGTATTAAAAAGCAATTAATTGGCGTGGTGTGAAGTTTATGCTATAATTCAGATGTCTGTGTTCCACATTAACTAACTTTATAGTTTTACTGCCAAAATGTAACCTTTCTTTAACTGTAATTACTCAATATCATCCATAATATTTATTATGGAATAATCTAAATGAATTTGTGAAAATTTAATTTGCTTTTAACTTCTAGGATTATATCTATAATGTAATATTTATGGTCTTTGTTTTTGTTTTCTTTCTGTTGTTACTAGATTGCTTCCTCCTCAGTTTCCTCAGGAAAAACCCGTGATCAGTGTTTATCCACCAATACGACATCACTTAATGGATAAACAAGGAGTGTATGTTACCTGTCCATTAGTAAACAATGTATGTATACAGGATAATTTATTTCAAAGTAACATAGTTGAACTACTTTTCAACAAAATAGTTTAGAAATCTGAAACACTTGAATGTCATTTTGGAATGAGTAATTTAACAATTTATATTCACTATGTATAATAAAGGAGCTCTGGTAGCATATTAACTGCTAACCAGAGGCTGGTGGTTCAAACCCATCAGCCACTCCTCAGAAGGAAGGTTGGGCAATGTATTTCTGTAGTGATACCGCTTTGGAAACCCAAGGAGGGGTCACTATGGGTCAGATCTGACTCGACAGCACATAACAACAAGCACTACATGTATAATAAGGAGCTCTGGTGGTGCAGTGGTTAAAGCATTCAGCTGCTAACCAGAAGGTTGGCAGTTCGAACCCACTAGCGGCTCTATGGGAGAAAGATGAGGCAGTCTGCTTCCATAAAGATTTACAGTCTTGGAAACCCTATGGGGCAGTTCTATGCTGTCCTGTTTAGTTGCTATGCATTGGAATTGACTCAATAGCAGTAGGGTGTTTGTGTGTGTGTGTGTGTATTAGATAATACTGTATTTACTTACAACTAAAACTCTTATTTGAAGGTTATTTATCCTTGATGAGAACCTTCTGATGTTAGAATTTTGTTTCACAGTGGGTTATTCCATAGCTGTTAGGAAGGAATAAAATTCAGATATGCCTTAAAGTTCTTAGGATATGTATATGATTAATTAATGTGTAGGACTATAATTGTGCTCATCAGGAACCTGTACTAAGACCAGAACGCTGTTCGAAGAAAACAAGGTATACCACATGTTTTAAAATCAGGAAGGGAGTACATCAGGGTTGTATCCTTTCATCATACTTATTCAGTCTGTATGCTGAACAAATAATCTGAGAAGCTTGAGTGTATGAAGAATGTGGTATCAGGATTGTAGGAAATTCTCATCAACAACCTGTGATACACAGATGACACAGCTTTGCTTGCTGAAAGTGAGGGAGACTTGAAGCACTTACTGACGAAGATTTAAGACTTCAGTCTGCAGTATGGATTACATTTCAACATAAAGAAAACAAAAAGCCTCACAACTGGACCAATGAGCAGCTTCACAATATATGGAGAAAAGATGGAAGTTGTTAAAGATTTCATATTACTTGGTTCCACAATCAATACCAATGGAAGCAGCAGTCAGGATATCAGATGACCTATTGCACTGGGCAGATCTGCTGCAAAAGACCACTTTAAAGTGCTGAAGAACAAAGATGTCTCCTTGAAGACTAAGGTGGACCTAACCTAAGCCATCGTATTTTCAGTCGCCTTATATGCACGTGAGAACTGGGCAGTGAACAAGGAAGGCCAAAGAAGAGTTGATGCTTTTGAGTTGTGGTGTTGGAGAAGAATACTGAAAGTACCATAGACTGCCAAAAGAACAAACAGATCTGTCCTGGAAGCAGTGCAGCTGGACAGCACAGAAAATTATATGGAACAAAGAAACCAGGAACACCATGAAAAAACACATAACAAAATGACAACAACCAATTCATACTTGTTGATAATTACAATGAATGTTAACAGATTGAATGCACCATTCAAGAGACAGACAGTTGCAGACTGGGTAAGAAAACAAAATCCGTCAATATGCTGTCCACAAGAGACACACCTTAGGGACAAAGACAAAAATAGACTAAAACTCAAAGATAGGAAAAAGATATATCAAGCAAATGGCATCCAAAAAGAGCAGGAGTGGCAATGTTAATTTCTGATCAAATTGACTTTAAGACAAAAACACCATACGAGATAAGGAAGGACATTATATAATGATTAAAGGATCAATTGAACAGGAAGATACAAGATATAACCATAATGTATATCTATTGACCCAATGAAAGAGCCCCAAAATACATAAATCAGACTTTAAAAGAGTTGAAAAGGCAGGTAGATGACTCCACAGTCATAGTGGGAGACTTTAATACACCACTTTTAATAGAAGATAGAACAACTGGAAAGAAACTCAACAAAGATGCAGAAGAGCTAAACAATACAGTCCACCGACTTGATTGTACTCCAGAGCACTTCACCAAACAACAGCACAATATATATTCTTTTCCAGTGCGCATGGAACATTTTCCCATGATAAACCATATGTTAGTCCATAAAGCAAGCCTAATAAATTAAAAAACATTGAAATACTGCAAAGCATCCTCTCAGATCACAATGCTATCAAATTAGAAATCAACAATAGGAAGATCAATAGAAAAAGAGCAAACACATGGAAACTGAACAACACCCTCCTTAAGAAAGACTGGGTAAGAGAAGAAATAAAAAGTGAAATTCAAAAATTCCTTGAATCAAATGAGAATGAAAATATAACATACCAAAATCTTTGGGACATAGCAAAAGCAGTGATCAGAGGCCAATTTATAGCAATAAATATGCATACATTGAAAAAGAAGAAAGAGCCAAAATCAATACTTTAAACCAACATCTCCAACAATTAGAAAAAGAAGAGCAAGAAAAGCCTACAGTCACCAAAAGAAATAATAAAGATTCGAGCAGAAATCAATGAAACAGAAAATAGAAAGACAATAGAAAAAATCAACAAGACTAGAGGTTGGTTTTTTGGGAAAGATTAGTAAAATTGACAAACCACTGGCAAATTTAACAAAGGAAAAGAGGGAGAGAATACAAATAACACAAATAAGAAACGAAATGGGTGACATCACAACGGAACCAATGAAATAAAAAGGATAATATCAGGATACTATGAAGAGATGTACTCCAACAAATTTGAAACTCTTGAAGAAATGGACAGACTGCTACAAACACACCACTTACTGAAACTAACACAGACTGATGTGGAAAAGTTGAACAGATCCATAACAAAAGAAGAAATTGAACAGGTCATAAAAGAATTATCAACAAAGAAAAGTCCTGGCCTAGACAGTTTCACTGGAGAATTCTACCAAACATTCAGAGAAGAACTGACACCAATCCTATTCAAACTATTCCAAAACATAGAAATGGATGGAATCCTCCTTAACTCATTTTATGAGGTAAACATAACCTTGATACCAAAACCAGGCAAAGACATCACTCAGAAGGAAAACTACAGATCAATAACCCTCATGAATATAGATACAAAAATCTTCAACAAAATCCTAGCCAGACTTCAACAACACATCAAGGAAATCATTCATTATGACCATGTGGGGTTCATATCAGGTATGCAAGAAGTACAGCTGGAATGGTCCTTGGAAGCGAGAATGGCCAGACTTTGTCTCACCTACTTTGGTCATGTTGTCATCAGGGACCATTCCCCATTCCCTGGAGAAGGATATCATGCTTGGCAAAGTGGAGAGTCAAGAGAAGGGGGAAGGCCCTCAATGAGATGGATTGACATAGTGGCTGCAACGATGGGCTCAAGTATAGTAAGGATTGTGAGGCTGGCATAACACTGGGCAGTGTTTCATTCTGTTGTATATGGGGTTGCTATGAGTCGGAGCTGACTCAGCGGCACCTAACAACAACAACAACAACAGGACTATAAATTTAAATGTGTTCAGTTGACTCTTAAATTACTGTAAGTAAAGAAATGTGGAAATATTTCAGATCCGGTTTTGATCAAGTAGAATTCTAACCTGTTTTATCATACTGTGGTGGCTTGTGTGTTGCTGTGATGCGGGAAGCTATGCCACCAGTATTTCAAATACAAGCAGGGTCACCCCTGGTGGACAGTGGAATCTGGACTGAGATAGACTAGGAAGAAGGACTTGGTGTTCTAATTCTGAAAAAATTGGTCACTGAAAGCCTTATGAATAGTAGTGAAACGTTGTCTGACATAGTGCCAGAAGATGGGCCCCTCAGGTTGGAAGGCATTCAAAATACCACTGGGGAAGATTTGCCTCCTCAAAGTAAAGTTGACCTTAATGATGTGGATCGAGTAAAGCTTTTGGACCCTTCACTTGCTGATGTGTCGTGACTGACTCAAAATGAGAAGAAACAGCTGTAAACATCAGTTAGCAATAGAAACAAGGAATGCATGAAGTATGAATCTGGGAAAATTGGAAATTGTGAAAATTGAAATGAAACACATAAATATTGTTACCCTAGGCATTAGTAAGCCAAAATGGACTGATACTTCCATTTTCAGTTGGACAGTCTTATGATCTACTATAGTAAGAATGAAAAATTGAAGAATGGTGTCAGAAAAGAATGTTTCAAGATCTATCTGGAAGTACAGTGCTGACTGTGATAAGATAATATCCATATGTATACATGGAAAACTAGTTAAATATGACTATTATTCAAGTTTATATATAACCATTAAATCCAAAGATGAAGAAATTGAAGACTTTTACTGATTTCTTCAGTCTAAAATTGATCAAACTTGCAATCCAGATGGGTTGATAATTATTAGTGATTGGAATGAAAAAGTTGGAAACCAAGAAAGAAGTAGCATTGGTAGTTGAAAAATATGGCTGTGTTGTTAGAAAAGATGCCAGAGATTGCATGATAGAATTTTTCAAGACCAACAACTTATTCATTGCAAATACCTTTTTTCAACACATAAACAGTGACTACATGTGGACCTTACCAGATGGAATACACAGTAATCACATTGACTACATCTGTAGAAAGAGATGACAGAGAAACTCAGTATCAGTCAGAACAAGGGCAGGGGCTGCCTTTGAAACAGACCATTAATCGCTCCTATGCAAGTTCAGGTTGAAGCTGAAGAAAATTTAAAACAAGTCTATGAGAGACAAAATGCAACTTTGATTATGTTGTTGTTGTTGTTAGGTGTTGTTGAGTTGGCTCTGACTCATAGCGACCCTATGTATAACAGAAGAAAACACTACCCGGTCCTGTGCCAGCCTCCCAATACTTGCTATACCCGAGTCCATTGCTGCAGCCACTGCGTCAATCTATCTTGCTGAGGGTCTTCCCCTTTTTTGTTGATCCTCCACTTTGCCAAGCATGATATCCTTCTCCAGGGAATGGTCCCTTCTGACAACATAACCAAAGTAGGTGAGACAAAGTCTGGCTATTTTCACTTCCAAGGAGCATTCGGGCTGCACTTCTTCCAGGACAGATTTTTTCATTCTTCTGGCAGTCCACGGTACTTGATTACATCCCACCTGAATTTAGAGATCATCTCAAGAATGGATTTGACACATTGTACATTACTGACTGAAGACCAGACAAATTGTGGGATGAAATCAAGGATATCATATATGAAGAAAGCAAAAGGTCATTAGAAAGACAGGGGTGAAAAAAACCACCAAAATGGATGTCAGAAAAATCTGTCTTGCATGAAGTACAGTCAGACTGCCTCTCATACTGTGGTCATATTGTCAGGAAGAACCAGTCCCTGGGGAGGGATTTCATGCTTGGTAAAGTAGAAGGTCAGTGAAAGAGGAAGACCCTCAACAAGATGGATTGACAGTGGCTGAAACAATGGGTTCAAACATAGCAATGATTATGAGGATGGCACAGGACTGGGCAGTGTTTCATTCTTTGTGCATAAGGTTATTATGAGTCAGAACCAACTCAATGGCATCTAATACCAAATATTTATGGTACTGATTCTATGAGAAAAGTTTTAAGTTACGGATTACCTATATTTTTAATTGACACAATACTTTTGTTTTTCATTTAATTCTCCACTTATAGAAGTGGATGAATATATATGGTTTATAGTGACATCCTAATAGCACTTTATAGTCATCTTTTCCTAAAAGTTATTTTAGTCCTATATTATTTTTACTTTCAGTTTACAATGCACTCGGATCTTGGCAAAATAATTCAGAGCCTATTGGATGAATTTTGGAAGAATCCTCCAGTTTTAGCTCCTACTTCTACAGCATTTCCATAGTAAGTGTATTTATAATTAAAAATTTTATTATATTTACTTTTATTTTTATTAAAGTAATCAAAATGCAGTTTAAAAAATCAGCTGATTTTAAATGGCAGTCCTTGGCTTACCACATCCCCACCTTCCTTCATTAAAAATACATTTACAGTTGTTGAAGGTAACTGAGTTTTACTCTTTTAGTTATTTCTCCTAATATTTGCCTTCATCTTTCAGAATAATATGTGCACACTGCTGTCTCTTGATGGTTTCATTTTAGTGAGAATAGACTTCCTATTATGGTAGATGAGGGGTTTAGCATCTTTCACAAACTTTCACTCTCCCTCATCCTCCCTGTTAAATTATTTTTTATTAAATCCATAGTTACGTTTTCAGTACTTTGATTCTCTAAATATTGTCCATTGCAGACCCAAGTACTTTACCATGATTACATTCCCCTAATGTTCTTTTTTTAAAAACTCTTTTCTAGAGTTAATAATTACTTAAATTTTCCATTGGTTCCAGCAGCTCTGAAAAATACCTTTGAGATAATTTTTTTTTTCACATCATCAAACATGTAGGGTCATCTCTTGCTTTCATTTTGTTCTTCGCAGACATCGCTCCATTTTTTCCCCTCCATTTGTGAACTAGTTACTTTTTACATCTGCTGCATAACTCTTCATCCAGGCACTTCCCTTTGTTGCCATTCTGGGATTTCCCTTTGTTCTTTCCTTTATTAGATTATCCATTTCCTGGATCCTATGTTTTTCTCTTTTGGGGTAGTTCTTAGTTTCTTGGTTAACTACTTTCCAGTAGCTTTCTGAACCAAAGATACGTTCTAGTTGCAAAGAATGCTCCACTTTTTGCATTAGCCGGTGTGGCTTGAAGTCTGGGAGTTGAAGTCATCTGACATCTCATTTACATGTCTGGCAGTTAGTGTTGACTGTATACTGAAAGCTTAGTTGAGGATATCAGGGATATTTTCATATGTGGCTTCTCCATGTGGTCAAGGCTTCCTTCTAGCATGGCAGCCAGCTTCTAAGGTCAAACATCCCAAGAGGGAGAGCAAGCCAAATATAAGCTGTATTGCTTTTTACAATGTAGCCTTGGTTGTCATTCAGTATCATTTCTGCTGTATTCTGTTGGTGAAGTCAGTTACAAAGTCCCTGCTAGGTTCAAAGGAGAGGGAAAATAGATTCCATCCCTTTTTTGGGGTGGTGAAGTTCTGGAAATGCATGTGGGACTAGAAATATACTTGGAAAATAAAATCTGTCACAATTCCTCCTACTGGCCACAAGAAATCACATCTGTCCCACAATGCAAAACATTTATTCATCCCTTTTCCTCAAGAACTTATGGAGTTCAGGGCTTTATAGACTCAGGGTCATGTTGGATGTCTTGGATTTCATCACCTAAATCAGGTTGTGGTACAGATGAATTTTACAGGTGTGTTTCTTGAGTACAGTTCCTCTTGATCTGAAGATAAGTGAATTAAAGAGACAAGTTTGCTGCCCTTCACAACACACCCAAAATGCAATGATAAGACAGGTATAGGATAACATGCTAGATCCTTCCTTTCAAAAGGAAGAAAGGGAGAAGCACACAGGAATCAGTGATCATAGCAATTCAGCTATGATCATAGAATCCAGCTGAGCACATGTTGCCATTTCTTTGATTCGGGCTCAGTCTTACTTCATGGGAATGATTCTTCACAGAATCATTCAGAGTTCTGCCTTTTGTGTCATTCTTCTTTAGTATAAATTGTAGCCCTTGTTTGCAGCTAAGAAGTTTTTCTCAACCTGCTTCCTTTTCTTAGAAATTTAAGGGTCCAAAGGCCTCTTTTCATTTGGTGTAGTTTCTGTCCCTTTCAGACCAAGATGATACATTCCTTTAAAGTGTTTTCCCTTGTCTTATGAATCCATCTTTTGTCCATTCCATTACACAGAAGCAATATTCAACAAATTTCTGCAGGAGAAGCATTTCTCTTATGTTGGGTTGTCACTCAGGCTTTTGAGAAAAAAACACTCTTAAAATTCTTAGAGGCTAGTGAAGGCCTTTGTCTGTTGAACAGTTTTCTGAGGCACTGCCTTAGTTCTTTCAGTAGTCTTGATGAAGAATTTTATAGCTTCATTTGAACTTCATCTTTGCTTTGAAGCTTTCTTAATTGAAAATCTTAAGAGAAGCTGGGAATGAGAGACAATTTCTGTTTTGAAATCCAGGAAGTCCTATCTCTTTTATATTTAACACTTCTTTGTTTCTCTTCTCTCACATTTTAGTACAACCTGCTAGAAGTCAGATACTTTCACTGCTGCCTATAAATCTCCTTAGCTAGATCATCCAATACACTAGGTATATTTTTGTTTTCTACTTTGTTGCAAGCAACCGAATTAGTAATATGTCCTTTAATACATAACAAAATTGTATGTATGTAAGATTGTATATGAAATTGCTCACGAGATGACTGCTTAAAACAGTGAAATTTTTATTTTGCTCACTAATCTGCAGCTTGGGCAGGGTTCACTGGAGATAGCTCATATCTGTTCTACTCATGTCCACTGTGGTGCCTGAAAGGCTGGTGACTGGAATCACCCAAAGAGTCACTCACATGTATGGCAATTAATGCTAGTGCTCAGCAGAGGCTTATCTGGGGTTATAAGCTAGAAAATCTGTATCTTACCTCTTCCTGTGACTTGGGCTTCCTCACAACATAATGTCTGGTTTCCAAGAGTGAACTTCCTGAGAGATAAAATCATAATACCTTCTAAAGGCCTAGCTGCTGAAGTCATTCATTGTCATTTCTGCTATGTTCTATTTTGTGACAATCAAAGTTCTAAACAGGTTCATGGGGAAGGAATTAGGCTTTACCTCTTAATGGGGAAATAGTAATATTCTGGAACAGCATGTGGACCAAAAATACTGCTGTGACCATTTTTAGAAAATATAGTATGTCACTGCAAAAACGGCAAGGAGGCCACATGTTCTGACCTCCTCTAATCCCACAAGAGGAAGAAAGAATTACCATCAATAGCCCAAGGCCTATTCCTGTGAAGCCAGACATGCTGCCTCCCTCCAGCCCTTTCTCCAACCGTTCCTCCCAAAACACCCACCACCTCTCTCTTGGGTTCGCTAATTCGCTGCAGTGGCCACACAGAGCTCACAGATTATGGGGTTTATTAGGGAAGCACCACAGGCTACAATTCGAGTTCAGCAAAAATGCTCAGCCTCTCTCCCAGCCCACCTCCCTCACCCAACAGTCTCTCACAGTCTCTTTCCCAGCAGTGCTGGTCCCTCGGTGTCTCAATCAGCAATGCGTGTCTCTTGCATCTCTTTCCCAGCAGCACGTGTCTCTTTCAGGAGCGTGTGTCTCTTTCGGCAGCATGTCTTCCTCAACCAGCAGTCAGAGAGAGTTCTGCCTCTACGAGGCCTCCTTTTGAGCCTGGCAGGGTGGTCAAACTAGCCAATCATAGCATCAGAACTCTAAGCACCTGAGAGAGAGTGGGCACCTCCCAGAACATTGTTTTGCGCCACTTCCAACAGAAAT